GGGGCGGAAAAATGGCCGCGGACCATGTGTCAGGGGCAGAAAATGGCCGCGGACCACGTGTCAGGGGCGGAAAAATGGCCGCGGACCATGTGTCAGGGGCAGAAATTGGCCGCAGACCACGTGTCAGGGGTGGAAAAATGGCCACGGACTGTGTCACGGGAGGGAAAATGGCCGCGTATCCTGTTCATACCCTGAGGCAGAGTTCGCAAACCAAGGTAAATTTTTGCGGCCGGAGCTGGTCGGAACCTGAAAAGTTCGTTAACAGAGGCATTCGTAACCTGAGGTACCACTGTACTATATTTCTGAATATCAGCTGCTGGGGAGGGCTGTGGCAGTAAATAAATTAGATTATTTTAAACCAAAGCTGGACAAATCATAGTCTGCATGCAAGCAACCACTCTAAAATGCATGTTCTGTCTTTCAGAATAGTCTTACCATAGAAAAGTTACGATTTACAATATTGTACAAAGAATTTTAGTTTTTCAATTTACAATTTCAATATTCCAGCTCACAATAAACCTATTATATTCTTTACATTTGAATCATACTAATTAAATAACTTTTGGTGCAATTCAGAACAAAAGCAACATTTAATATTTATACCTACAAAAAGATTAACCTGCGAAAATGGTATCAGATTCTACAGCTCTGTCATTATTAAAGAAAAAGTAATCTAAACAAGAATGTCTTTACCAACCTATTACTGGTTAAAATGCTATTCTTCATGTGTTCCTCACTAATAAAAATATAAACAGACAACAGATTCTATACACTGAAAGTCACCCTATACTATAAAATACAAGGAACATACACATGCACTCTTCTCATTGTTTCATAGTTTAAATATAGCCAAAGTGTATAATTTTTGCAGTTAGGCACAGATTAGGAACCTAAAGCTGAGCAAAATGTGTCATTTTTCATATTAACAGATGTACACAAAGAAATTTATCCCATTTGAAGTAGCACTTAAAATCAAGTTTTTGGCCTTTTCTCTTCAAAAGGAACAAACTTTTCAGTTTCTTAAATTTTCTAATTATCCAATTTCCATTATAACCAATGTACAAATGTTAAAACTTTTAAATTATGTCATACTTTCGCCTGACTTTTTATATTTTACATAGCAATCAGAACAACTCTCTAAACATAAGATTTTATTTTGCACTAGATAACCTGTGACCAGTGGGGTCATCGTTTCAGAGATATTTCTTTACCTAAACAGAGAAACAGAATGACCAAGGGCAAAAAAGCAGTGGGAGTGTGACTTACGACTTGCTGCTGGCCTCCCCATTGACTTTGCTTGTGGGAAACTGGCAAGGAGCATCAGAAACCAACCTTCCTTCTTTCCATCCTCCCCCCTCCCCTCCCCCTCCCCTCTTCCTTCCTTCCCTCCCTCCCGCCTTCCTACATATAATATAGGCTTCTGCCACTTGCCCTTCCCTCACGACCCTCAGGAAAGCCCCGGTGAAGCCTCCTCCTCCTCAGCTGACCCACGAAACTGCTTGCCACTTTGCTGGAGGGAGGTGGAACAAAGGGAGCTGCAGACCATAAGGAAAACTGCACCCCTGCTCCTCATTCTGGAGTGCCCCCAAGGCCCCCTCCCTTCCTCGAGGGGGAAAGAGGACTCACCCTCCCAGCCAGCCCTACCTCGCCAGCAGGCATCTGAGTCACTTCCTCATCTTTCCCTCACCACCAACTGCCATTAAGAGATTTCAGATTTCTGCCTTGTTTCCAAAGCAGCCAATCGCTGTTCGCCTGTTGGGCCCTGCCGCCAGCCAACTGGGCGCAAGGGACAAGAAAAGGCCGGGGATACGCCCATGATGATCAAATGACCTGGGCTGACTGTGGCAGCACAGCAATGTAGCAGTGCTGAAGCGGCCACAACTTTCCGAAATTTCAATCCCACAGGAGTCACGGGTCCCAGATTTTGGATGTGTTCTGTAAGTTAGCCCACTGAGGTACCTTGGTTCAAAAACTGCTGCCATACGCACACTGTTTGAAGGCTACAGACACAAGAGTTTTAGTCGTATATACTTCTGTATACTTCTATTTATATTCTTATAAGGTGAAAGCTATATTTAATACTAGTGTCTTAAGATCTATAATTAATCTTAAAAGTGTTCATATAAAAATTCCCCAACAATTACTACCTGTTTTTGAGTCAAGTGTTATAACCATGAAACAATTGGTGTTATTATACTTGAAAAATCTTGAGCTCTTTTTCTAGGTAAGGTATTGTCTTTACGATTTTTGCAATGAACATCTCAGTCATAATCGTACAATAGAGGGACCAAGAGTCTTCAAGCACTAAAATCAGTCATGGTTAACAATCATGGTTAATTATGATTAAGTTAATAGCTATCTCTTAGTCCAGTCGGTTTATATATTATACAGATGTTAACAGTTATTTACTTACAGCTCTGTTGTAGGGTTTACTGAAATAGTGTCTAGAAGCTCTTTGCATAATCAGAATATACTATGAAGTTGTAATGGGCAGATTTCCCCATTTCTTTTTTTAAAAAATATGTAGTTGCCACTCTATTCTTGAAAACAAGACTGCATGTATTTTTTTTTAATGTTCAATTTAATTATCTCCATATTTGAAGGAGTACAGATGTATGCTACAGAATCCCAGTAAACATTCCACCAAAACACACACACACAGACACACACACTTCCTCTGTAAGTAAGCAAACCCTCAAGGTTTCTTTCAGAACACATAAAATAATCATGCGTATGAACCACTTGGATGAAACAAGGTCTTTTTTGTCCCGAAATGCTACACAATCTATTGCAAAATAATAAGTACAGAGTATTTTATTAGTTTAATCATTTAGTGATATTGGGAATTCTGCCATCTGTGAAAAAGTTTTTCTGACAATCAGTTGCTATTCTTTAACGAACTTACCTTCTTCTTGTCTCTCATGGACCCTTTGCCTCGGACCATTATCTTACATCCTGTTTCAGCCTCAAGTTGTTTAGCTGTTAGCCCTCTAGGCCCAAGAATTCTTCCAACAAAATTAAACTGAAATTTTAAAGAAGAAAAATAATTACTTAGAACACAGTGAAAATAATTAATGGCCAGCATTCTGTAAAACTGTAGCCTTAGCACATGCCTATCATTCTGAATTATTCCTCCAAAACAATGACAAACCTTTATTTCTTTGTTAAAGTTAAAAAAGCACACAAGAGAATAGAAAAAAGCTAGTGTGGGTACTGAAAGTTACAAGTGCTTAAATTCAAAGTGTTAAAGTTACCACAATTGCTAAACAATTGAACATGTGATAGGAATTGCAACAAATTCAGTGACTGCAGATATCCAATGACTTATCAGCTAAGAGGAGGAAAGTATTATACTCTCAGTGGGTGTGCAAGTCGGTTAAGAAAAGCGTTATTGGGTCAACTTGCCATATCATACAGAAGGGGCACTACAGAAGTATAGGCAAGACTATTTTTTCCAGCAAACAAGGGCTAAAGTCTCTTATACAACAGTATGATTTAATTTTCCTTCTTATTGTGAAGATTGCAAAACACTGTAATGGTGAAAGTGAAAGCCGTTGTACAGGATGGGCCAGAGAATGTTTGCTAAACATTTGACAGGGAAGAACGATCTCTCCAACAAGACCATTTTCCCACAGAAAGAACATTTTGCTTATTTCATCCTGGATATCAGTACCACAGGCCCTTTGTTTCAATTATGACCAGACTTTCTCAGGACTATGCGAAGCAAGACAGTGGGTTAATAGGCCATGATACAGTGGGGCAAAAAAGTATTTAGTCAGCCACCAATTGTGCAAGTTCTCCCACTTAAAAAGATGAGAGAGGCCTGAAATTTCCATCATAGGTATACCTCAACTATGAGAGACAAAATGAGAAAAAAAAATCCAGAAAATCACATTGTCTGATTTTTAAAGAATTTATTTGCCTTATTTTCCACCATGATTTGCAAATAAATTCTTTAAAAATCACTTATTTTCCACCATGATTTGCAAATAAATTCTTTAAAAATCACTTATTTTCCACCATGATTTGCAAATAAATTCTTTAAAAATCACTTATTTTCCACCATGATTTGCAAATAAATTCTTTAAAAATCACTTATTTTCCACCATGATTTGCAAATAAATTCTTTAAAAATCACTTATTTTCCACCATGATTTGCAAATAAATTCTTTAAAAATCACTTATTTTCCACCATGATTTGCAAATAAATTCTTTAAAAATCACTTATTTTCCACCATGATTTGCAAATAAATTCTTTAAAAATCACTTATTTTCCACCATGATTTGCAAATAAATTCTTTAAAAATCACTTATTTTCCACCATGATTTGCAAATAAATTCTTTAAAAATCACTTATTTTCCACCATGATTTGCAAATAAATTCTTTAAAAATCACTTATTTTCCACCATGATTTGCAAATAAATTCTTTAAAAATCACTTATTTTCCACCATGATTTGCAAATAAATTCTTTAAAAATCAGACAATGTGATTTTCTGGATTTTTTTTTCTCATTTTGTCTCTCATAGTTGAGGTATACCTATGATGGAAATTTCAGGCCTCTCTCATCTTTTTAAGTGGGAGAACTTGCACAATTGGTGGCTGACTAAATACTTTTTTGCCCCACTGTATCTTAAATAAGTGAAGACGACTGACTTCCATGAGAACATAAAAGCCTTGCTATAGGGAAACCAAAGCATTGCCCCTCCTACCCACAAGTAATTTGATCCAATATTTCTAATGGCAAAGCTACATGCTGGTCTTTACAGAAATGAGGCCTGATTCTAGTCTCAGCAGATAATTTGACATACAATGGGGCATTTGCACAAAAGCTTTCAAAATTTAGACTTAACTAGCTCTACAGAGCTTACTTACAATAATTATAAATCTGTATACCATATAACAGGTGGCTGATGACCTTAACTCTGACAATTTCTGTTGCAGCTGGGATATGATTATTGCCATTACCATTAGTGAAATGTAAAATTATATTTGAAAGTTTATGAGCCCTAGCGGTGACATCTCTCTCCTGCTGATTCCAGGTTATCAAGGCTTAGAAGAATATGTCCAAATATTTAAAGAACTTAATTTGATCAATGCTAAAGCCATTAATTTTCTAAGAGTGGCAGGAATAATAGGCCTTTTAGGAAAGGTGACTAGTTTTGTTGTAGTTAATAACTAGCAGATACTCACTGCGATAATGGGCAAGACCATAGAAATTCTATCTTAGGTCTACTCTGTGCTAACAAGAGAGTTGCTGCATTGTTGGCATAAAGACAGTGGAAACAAGTCTATAACAAGGGGAGGAGGAAATTCAGCTTTGTCAAAGCAACCCTGCTTTACCCCTTTGTGTATGTGGATTATGGGGAAAGAATCCTGAAGCACTAGAACAAGCCTGAATTACATTGTCTTCATGTTGTTTCATCATCTGCAACAAAAGGTGCTGTTCAATAAAATAAGCAGTTTTTCCTAGAACCTAGCTTTAGGGATTGAATCAAAGTCCGCCTCTAAATCAGCAAGAGACAGTGTAAAGGATCCCATGTGGGTGACTATAATATTCTTCTATTGGAAGGTGAAGGAGAAGGCAGTGATCAAGGGCTGATTGTCCCTCTCTGAAACCAGCTTGTTCTTCCATCAGGACATATGCTGCACCATCCAATCTTGATTTTTCCATGGTGATGCCTACCATCCTCTTGCTCAACAGGCTAATCAAGCTGATGTTAGTTTGCTCCTTCCTATCTCCTTTTTTGTATATTGGGATTATGATGAATCAATTCCAATCTGGAAAGAGGGATCAATGTATGTAAATAAACAAGGATGCCAGGATTCATCATTCCATGTTCCCATTTAGCATTTCTGCTATGTACCTCCACCTGGACACAACACTGGAAGCTAGTTTGCCATGACAGCAGTTAACAATCCAATGAAACTTGGACCTTTGGTGAAGCAGTAACTGAGGTGGGAAAGTATTTGGCTCATACTTCAAAAGCAATCAAGCAATGAGCTTGAACAGAGGCTTTTAAAAAGAAAAGAACAACAAAGTATTAAAAATCAGTGTATTTCTTTTGTTAATTGGGCAAGCTTCTGTCAGTTAACTCTCTAGTTCTCTACCTTTTTTTTTTCAACGAGTTTTATAAATTATTTCCCTTTCAAGGACAATTGCAAATGATGTAGAGACTATGTATTCTCTAAAACCTTCAAATAAGCTGTCACTAACCACAGCACACTCATGATCAAACCATGATTTTGAGGGGTGCTTGGTCCCTTAAATCCAAGATGAAGTCTCAAACTCAATTAGTATCTAGAAGTTACTGAAAGCACCTAAGGTACACTACTTGGCACAAATAGCAAGCTGGAGTTAGCGGGTGAATAGCTGAGCTTAAGAAGTGCACTTTACCTCTTTGGTTCCCCTGATTCTCTGAGCTCTCTCCCTGGGGAATTAATCAGGTGATTTGCATCCAGTCTCTGAACTTGGACATTCATTACTAGCTTCATAGTGATCAGGAGGTATCACTATTAGGCTGAGTAGCAATCCAAAAAGAGGTACTATTACAAAGTAGACTAATCAATACTAGGGCAAAAACTATAGTACTATCGCACAGGAAAATATTTATCAACCTAATTGCTGAAGTTCTAATAACACGTTATAAACTTCCTTTAAAAACAAAAGAATAGAAAAAACTACTGATTCCACACTTCTTACCAGTTTTAGGTTCAATGCTTTACTGAATGACAGTTATTTAGTAAAGGGCAAGAGTCCTCTCCATGGCAGCTTCAGCACCTACAACATGATCTTAAAATTCCACAGATGCCCACTAGCTAAAATGCTTGCATTATCTTGTCTTACTGAATTTGTTTTACTACCCTGAAATCTTTTCAAATACTGAACTACTCCATATATGAGGCAAAAAACTCTATATATAGAGCCCATGTTTACACATTCCCAGGGAAGTGAAAAGCCAAATGCAGACACCGTTCACTTACCCTGTATCTGTCACCCACCATAAAAAATACATTTCACTATTTCAGCTATCAAAAGCTCTGCAATATATTTATGTATCTCTAGTAGACAAAAGTAGACTGCTCATTGGAAGGACTGATAATGAGGCTCAAGCTCATATACTCTGGTCACCTAATGCGAAGAGAGGACTCTTTGGAAAAGACCCTGATGCTGGGAAAGATTGAAGGCAAAAAGAGAAGGGGATGGAAGAGGATGAGATGGTCAGATAGCATAACTGAAGCAATGAGCATGAAACTGAGCAAACTCAGGAAGGCAGTGAAGGACAGGAAGGCCTGGCGCGATATGGTTCATGGGGTCACGAAGAGTCGGACACGACTTAACAACTGAACAATAACAAGTAGACAAAAGACCTAAAAGCTTCTTAAGTGA